GATCAGCCGTGTATGGGCACGCGTGTCCACGCACGCGTGTGTGCACTTGTGCGTGAGACTGAGTGCGAGGTGGAAGGAGGCTGGGTGGACGAAGAAGAAGGGGGGAGGGAAAGGGTTAGACGCTTAATATTTCAACATCGCGAAATTCTCCCCGTGAATGATTAACCAGCCCGAGTAGGTAACAAGTCCCCCGTGACAGTCTCCTCTTGCCAACCTACACACCTTCCCATGTACGCACACGCTACACGTTACAGCCGTTCTTCCTCTCTCTCTCTCTCACACGCATTTTCTATCGCTCCTCTAGCAGCCCTATCTATTCTGCAAATGTCCTGCAGGGGTTGGGCGTGTTTCGAGTTCTCTCGGTGCGAATACACTTGCCGATGCCCAATCGAAGTCCTCCTCCGGATGCGCGCTGAGATCTTCGGCTTCTCCCGACGCTCAGCGTCTCGTTCGAGCCTCGCAGAATTGCGCGGGCTACTATTTTTCCTAGGGATTTATTTGTGCGACGCTCGAAGGGCCTGGAGCGCGTGGAAGCCGCGCCGTCGCGCGCATGCGCCGCCGCGCACTCTTTCCGTATCGTATTTTTTCATAACTAGCTCCTGGCTGTAAAAATACTGCCTGTAAACGTTGGAGTATTTAATCTTTATTAGGAAATTCGCTGGGTGAGGCTGCGCGAGCTGGTTCGTTGGGTCGAATTTTTTTCCCGTCGATGTCGAAGGGCGTCGGTATACTGTTTGCAGTTAAACAATATTACGTAGTAAAATTTATGACTCCCACCACCCCCTCCCGCCCTTGGCTGGCATTCTCGCGCCTGTTCGCCTTTATACGGCAAAAAATATCAACGAATGTGCAATATGAAAAATTCCTTATGACCGCTGCCCTACGATCTCCATCAGCCCTTCGCTTCCCTCTCGGCCCCTCTCGTCCCCTCTCGTTCCTCCGGTAATGCACCATCATGTACTCACATTTTTTTATCATACACTTTTGCTACCCTTGCCATTTTAACTTTTATACCGTCTTGGCGCTCCCGCACGGTTTCAATCTAAATTTTGCAATAAATTTAAAATTGTCCAAAAAAAAATCGGAACTTTTCAACGAAGCGGGTGCGTTTTAAAACGGTTTACAAGATATACCAATAAGGGAAGAGGGAAGAAAAAGGAGTTCCCAGAGTATCAGAAGCCGTAGGGTCCATAAAGCGCTAGTAATATTCTTTCATCAATCGTGCGAGGCGAATGGTGTCGGGTAAGGTTGGCTAAGGTCAGATACTCACCTACTCATTCGTCGTTGGCAATCACATGGTTTACCGCGCAGTGCTCCATTACTTTTTTACACATCTAATATCTTCGTTTAGCGTTATGAAAAAAACTCACACCCTCGTAGGCCGCGGATGTTGCGTCATGGGATTGGAGTTTGTGGAAATAAAATGAAGAAAAACGAACGCCGAGAAGAAAGCACGGGAGAGCGTATCGTCTCCTGCTATTTTCTTTTTACAACAATGGCAGCGAGATGTCAATTGTGAAAAAAATATTTTTTTTCGTAAACACCCAGCAGCATCTGCCTTCTACAAGTATTTACAGTAAGAAATGATTTTTTGTAATTGCCGCAGTAACGTACCGCGCTCGAGGATATTCTGAAGGACAATTGCGCAAAATTGACAGGTAGTTCGGTAGACAAAGTCCACTAGTATCTTAGAAAGCGTATAGGCATACAGGCATACAGGCAGCAGAGGGACAGACAGCAAGGAAGTTGGCGCAAATGAAATTGAAGCCGCAGTTGATATTTAAACAAGAGACCGTGCGACCTGCAAGTATAAAGACTGTGTAATGGGAGTCACGTCCATAAACTATGGAAAGTATGGGAGAGAGAGAGAGAGAGAGAGGGAGAGAGAGAGAGAGAGAGAGAGCGCAGGTTTGCACGCTCGCGTCAGACTGGGCTCGATCCCGGTATAACACGTCCATACGTATCCGAGTTTCGGCTACTAGTAGTTTCGAAGTTGGCGTCGAGTTGGCTAACGCCCGACGTCACTCCGCCGTCAGGACAGGGAAAGCTCCAAAGTTGTATTTTCTTGCGACGAGAGTGGAAGCGAGAGCGAGAGCGAGAGAGACGAGTAGAGCGAAGGATGGAAGAGAAAGAGAAGGAGGATCCGGCGTGTCCACGTAGCGGCTCGTTGTTAACGAATTAGAGGGTAATAGCCGTTAGGGGAGTACGGTCGACTCGGATGGTCACTCTCCTCTTTGTAGCCTAAATTTCATTAGTGGCTCCATCTTCTCCGGCTGGGACACGTAACTTCGTTATCGAGAAGCAAACCCAGTGAAATAGCAGAGCCCAGTTCCTCGGCTCGTCCGCGTCCGTAAGTAACCAGCTGACCAGCTCACGGGCGTGCGGCCTCATTAATGCATTCCCCTTTACCTTATCCTTCCTTCTGCCCCCTTCTGCCCCCTTCTGCCCCCTTCTGCCTCCCTTAACGTAAATAAGTAGTCCGTAACGTTGCTGCACACTGTGCGAGCTGTGACCAAGCGATGGCGGAACCAGGCGACGAGGCAGCAGCGTCAGAGAGAGAGAGAGAGAGAGAGAGAGAGAGAGAGAGAGAGAGAGAGAGAGAGAGTTGAAAGCTGAGGTTGCTCGCAGGTCGGTCCCAGGCGCAGCGTCATTAGGATCCTTGGCTCTTGTCTGAGATGGACAGGCGTAACGCGATCAGCTGCGAATTCTGAGCGGATGTTATGATATTCACAGACATCTTGGAGAAGCGATATAAAGCGATTAACGGCTCGTTCGCAAGGAGCGGCCTGTTCGCGCTTGGCTCGGGAATAAATGGGGCATTAATCGTCCAGCTGCATCCTCTCTTTGATCTTCCTGGGAGTTCTATTTCGCTCTAATCCGTTCACTCCGATTCTGTGTCTTTTGAAGATTCGAAGGAACCGGCGGCCCCCGGCTGGCGGATGACGAGATAACGACTGGGTCGGAGCGCGCAGGCGGTTCGCTTCTTAATAATCCTTCCTCGTTATCACTGACACGAGGAGGAAGGTCCAGAGGATGCGAGTCGATGATACCAATGAAAAATGCAGGAATCGATGGTGATTCCGGTGGGGCTGGTAGTTGGAGAACGCGTCGGGGCGGTTGGGGGCGGTGTTCGCGGGGCGGGGCCTCTTGTCAGCAGGGGTACAGGAGGAAATGGCACGGACTGCTGGGGCAGCATGCGAGATCCTCGGAAGGTGGCACTGAACGTAGTGGGGGCACGCGCCTACAGTCGTTCGGGCAGGCTGGCTGGCTGGCTGGCTGGCTGGATGGATGGCTGGATGGCTGGCTGGCTGGCGGCTGCCAGCGGTAAGCGCAGGGCCACCCGCGCCACGATGCTAGCGAGCGAGCGAACAAGCAAGCGAAGGAACGGGCAACGAAGGAAGCGCGAGCGATATCGGCGCAGCGTGGCGCGCGCGGCGCCAGCGCCAGCGTCAGCGTCAGCGTCGCCAGCGGCGCCGGATAACCGCGAGCGCTGCTTCGGTCTCTCAGTCGCGACGCGCTCGTCACGCGGTGCAGATCGTTGTACGTCGCTCTGGCGCGCGTCCTACCTTACGTTACGTTTCCATTGGGGCTTCGCGGGAGCGCGGGGTGCGCGTGGTGTCTCGTTCTTAAGAGATCTTGTACCTTGGTGGAGGGTTCGAGTGAAGCCTGCTGCCGTCGAACCTTCGATCTTGACTTCGATCTTGATCGGAGCACGAGGATACCGATACTCGAGGAAAGATACTTTTGAGGCGTCGCTTGACTCGAGCGCTCGGCGGTTCGGTATTCCGCGCTGGATCGCGTCTCGCGCGAAGAACAATAAATCGCGATCGGTACGGCTCGTCGTGTGCGGTCTATGCGACTGAAGCTTGACGGAGCTCGGGTGGTGATCGGCGGGATCGGTTGTATTCGGATGACAATACGAGGGATGATAATGGAGAGAAGAAGGCAGGAGGCAGGAAACCTCGTTACTTATCTGGGACATTGAACCTCGTTCGGGCTGCTCTCGTGTTTACTTGCGTGCGCGATAGAGAGAACTCTCAGTGACGGAGGATGTTAACCAGCGCTGTGACTAAGTTGATCGTTATTGGCTGAAGAGAGGGTGTTGTTTTAGTAATGGGGATCGGCAATCGTGACGATCCGAGAGGTTGACGCGTATCGAAAGTTCAGAGTTTATTGGACGGAGCTCTCGAAGGGCAGAAGGAGGAGCGTGCTCGTCATCGCTCCGCGGGGATTTGTGTTCCAGATGGCCGCGACGCTCTGGTGACCCAGTGGACACTTTGCCAGTGAGCAGCGAAACGTACACAAACGAGGATAGACGTCAGGGAGATCGAGCGGAGGCTGCGACTGCATCTGGAGCAGGCCGACAGGTGGATAGAGGAGCCAGTGTCAAGAGGAGGAGGTCCTGGTGGTGGTAACAGGAACTACGAGGAGGATCGAGCGATCGAGGGAAGATCTCAGGGCGACCACCTCGCGGGAAGAAGGATGACGCAACAGAGTGGTGCTGGGTCGCCCCAGCAATTTTGTCTGCGCTGGAACAATTACCAGACCAACCTGACCAACGTGTTCGACCAGCTACTCCAGAGCGAGAGCTTCGTTGACGTGACCCTCGCCTGCGACGGCCACTCGGTCAAAGCCCACAAGATGGTCCTCTCGGCGTGCAGCCCCTACTTCCAGGCACTCTTCTTCGAGAATCCCTGCCAGCATCCCATCGTCATAATGAAGGACATCAAGTGGCCGGAACTGAAGGCTGCCGTCGAGTTCATGTACAAGGGAGAGATAAACGTCTCCCAGGAACAGATTGGACCACTTCTCAAGGTCGCCGAGAGCCTGAAGATCCGCGGCCTGGCCGACGTCAACAACGAGCAGGAGCTGACGTCGAGGCCGAGCCTGGAAGACGGTTCCGGTGGAAGCGGCGCGTCAGGTGGACTCTCTCGGAAGAAGCGGCGTCGAATTTCCGGAGAACGCTCGCCAACCGGAAACAGTCCGGATCGTACCTTACCCGGCGAAGATCAGGATCTAGGGAGCATGGGACCAGAGGCCCACGGATTGGGACCCTCCTCGACGCCGCGTTCCCTTGGGTCACCCAGCACGCCCAGCATCTCCGTCACACCGCAGATCAATCTCCAGGACCTTCCGGTCTCGCTATCCCTGCCACCACCGTCACTCCCACCGTCGACCAATCAGAGTTCGCACCCCGTTGCTCACCACGTGCCTGCCCACGTGACTTCCGCTTCGCACGCGTCCATCAATCCTCTCGGCCCTCACGGGCCGTCACAGCTGCCCGTCCAGCAGCAGCAGCACCAGCAGCAACAACAACAGCAGCAGCAGCAGCAGCAGCAGCAACAGCAACATCTTCAACAATCATCTGTGAACCCGACAGCACCCGGAGATGACCTGGAGATCAAACCCGGCATCGCCGAGATGATTCGCGAGGAGGAAAGGGTAAGTCCATTCACTGTATTAATCTTTCAGATACTCGTACAATTCCTATAACGAAAAGTCACCAGAATGAATATCGAAATACTATTGACAGAGCTGTGCAGAACTGTCAGCTGGTAATGATCTTTGAATGACACATGATTTCTCTTATGATTTCAAAATATTTCATCAGGTGCCCCTGCGAAATCTTATATTTCAAATTCCCATATTTCTTGTGAAAAGTGCAGATGGCTCAAAGGATTAAAAAGATCATCGACAATTAGCAACGGTCGACGATCGATGATCGATGACTAGATCGAGGGTTATAATGAATTGCGATAATAGAAAACAGAAAAGGAGCCGGCGTTACGCATCGCAATTTTACTATATGTATATACGTATATATTTGTCGTTAGATGACGCAACCCGATACATAATAGCAATAGTTACATTCCGTAGAATTCCATTACGCTAAAGCACTGCCGTTTCCATTCTCTATCTGCGAATCGGCGAATCGCGAATCGCGAATCGCGAATCGCTCCCACTCGCAAAGACGCTCGCCTATCTGTCGCTGCTAAGAAGCCTGCGTTCGTCCACCACCCACATAATGACACTTCCAGTAATTACAATAATTAATATAAAACTTATTCCAAGCAAACGAGTTCTCGATCTTTTTTCTTTTTCCTTCTCTTTCTCATTTATTTATCTTCTCTTACTACATCCTGCAGATTTCATTGTTACGATTACGATTTCAATTCTAATTCCGAGAACGCAGTAACGATTTGAAGAAATTGAAAAAGTTGAAGTATTCGCGTTAATCGCATTATCGGGATGAATCTCGTGTCCCGTGTGGATGGATGCTGCATGGATATCGAGACGATCGAGGCTGCTCTCGAGTCATCTCTCTTTGCTCCTTTGTTACAGGCAGCCCTTCCTACGTACTCTGTGTCGATTTTCAAAACTCTCAACACCGAACACTGGGCTGCCTGAATGCAGGTTGGGTTGGATTTTCCGTAAATGAGAGAAAATAGCGAAGAGAGGTGGGGGAGGGGGGAAGGGGGGGGGGGGCGCAGGAGAACAATCGTTGATCTACCGGGAAGTCAATGTACGTAGGGGTCGCGCCGAAGAGGGTTGCGAACGGGAGAGAGGGAACCTTGCTGGGGGAAGTGCCGAGGTTGTCTGCTGGCGAGTGGAGGGTGGACTGTGGGATGTGGAGAAGGGAGTGTATATATAGGGTATCGAAAAAAAATTTAATCTTCTCTCGCATTATCCTTTTTGGCAATAACGGTTTTACTCGAATCGCGCTTTGCCCGTTTCCCTCCTCTTTACCTAAAACAGGACGAAACATCGTAACCCGGAGGTGTCCCTCTCTTTCCGTCCTTCCAGGTTTACGCGGCAGAGGGTAGAAGTATCGCGGTAGGCGGAGGCGACGAGAAGAATATAAAAAAGGAAAAAGGAGAGGAAAACAGTAAATCGTGAATTGTAGTAACCGAGCGCCATTCGTTCCGATAGACCGGATGTGACTACATATTTCCTTCGTTCCGTTTAAATAAGTCTTTTTGCGCTCGCGGCCTTGATTGTGTTTCTTGCACGTCACACCGACGCGCCGGGGCGCCGGGGCGTCGAGGTGCTCGGCTACGTGGTCTCTGGGATCGCGCGTTAGACACGTGCACTTGCACTGAGAATGCATCCACCACGCATCCACGTACAATCGACTCTGCCAGTCGCTGCTCCTGCTGGACCTCCACGGGGATGCTGCTGCAGGAGCTGTGATCGGTTGGCGGGTGACGTGGACTCGCACGGTGCAGCCCATGGGGGTGGTCCAGGGTTGATGCACACTCGATGCTCACGTAGACACGTAGACACGTAGACACGTAGACACGTAGCTGTATCGTATCGATTCTACGTTGATCAACGTAACGTGGATACGTAAGCGATATATCAGAAGCATCATTTCGACGGGACGTTGCATAGCGCCGGCGGTAGCAACGCCGAGCAACGCCGAGCAACGCCGAGCAACGCTGCTGGGCTATTCGACGATCCACCCGACCCAGCAACAGCAACTGAAGCTGCAGCAGCGCGGAGGCGATACAGGAAAATTGAAAAGTTTGATGTATTAAAATGTGCTTTTCCATTCTTTTTCCTCGGGCGCCATCGGGCAAGGTATGCACCCTGGCTGAGTGATCGCGAGTGGGTATGAGTGGGTTGGCGGGACAGCGGAGGGGGGCAGGGGGGGGGACTGATACTGGAATTTCTGATTCTTGTCTAGATAGTTTTTTAATCTCACGAAACAGTTTCGAATTTTAGGCTCGATCCGACGTAGGGAGCATAACGTCCTCTCGTTCTCTGGTGGCTCGTACACGTGTATTACGTGCGGAGTCGGGTGGGTCCCTATATCGCATGGGGCCTCTCGAGGCCCCTTTCGGTCGCGAGTTCATTTTAATAACGGACGGCTTAGCGTGCGTAATGCTATGTATTTTAAATATTTCGAAAATTGCTTTCCTAGGAAACTCCGCATAATAGCAATACTTGGAATATAATCCTGGGGTAACCACGCTCTCTCAGGACCACATAGGCACTCGGCCACTTATCGTCCCCACTATCTCTCTCTCTCTCTCTCTCTCGTTCTCACTGACCCTTCTAATTCCCGAAGCTTTATACATCACAGAGGTCCTTTTTGCTCGCCTTCCCCTGTTACAGGGTTTTCCGTTTCCCCGCCCACCCCTCCACTACCACCCCGCTACACCATCAATATCCACAAGTGTACGCAATGTCGTACAGAGAGATGTAGTCGCACACGTAGACGCATAGTCGTGTGACGAGTCATGTTATTGGGCATGAGTGTACGTGGCGCTTCCATTATTTAGCCTCGCAGTTACACGTATCAACGATACATTGTTTCCCGTGAAACGGGGTGAGTCATCTCCTTGAGAAAAAGAAAAGATCTTGACATGTTCCGTTTGTGGAGCCAGAGAGACCAAGGGGAATCCCCCGCCGCTACACGTTGAGCCAGGAAGAGCCGATGATGCTTTAGCCATTAGAATCGATAGTCCGGAAGTTCGAGCCCTTCGTATCCCTTAGCCGCCAGCCGTTATTCCACGTTTCAGCAAGGAAACGTTGAACGAGTTCCGGGACAACCCTTTCGCGTGACGCACCGATGAATGATGCATCGAAACTCTTAAAACATTGAGGAAACGAGGGTCGCATAGGGAGATCAGGAGAGACAGGAGATCCCTGTCGTCTTTGTCTTTTCTGGCCTGGACCTTCCTGATAGCGGAAGTCCCCTCCCCCACTTGGCAGCTAAGTTACGAGAGGCAATTTTAGAATTTTTCCATTTTCTAAATGACGCAGCATCCCACGCAGGATCCTCTCGCTCACACGCACGCCGCTTCTCGCGTGTCTCTGTGCGTCGCGCTGTAAATCAGAAATTATCTTGTCGCGCGCAGCATCCCGACCGAATCTGCCTCCCATGCCTTTTCCCATCGAAATTCGCATAAATACGAAAGCCGCGCGGCTCTCACGTCGCGCTGGAATTCAGAACGGGAGGTGGAGGAGGCGGCGCTGGACGATCGGTTGGACGATGCGATGCTCTCGGCGTCGCGACGCTTCGGGACGCGACACCGATGCCCGCACATCATACGCGTGTAGTACTACGGCGGACACCTATGACACCAGAGAGAAACTTGATGGACGGATGACCGGGCCATTCTGCAGATTGCTTCGCTCTCCAAATCTGCCATCCAAAAAGGAGATTTATATTGCATCTGCTGTCTGTCTCTCTCTATCTCGTTGCCACTGTCTGACCGACAGGTTAGTTCAGCTTCCCATGATTTTTTTTCGTCGCGTTGCTTTATTTCTAACGGAGCGCAGAAGGGGTGGGACATGTATGTGTGTATATATATATATATATATATGTCGCCCTTTTGATATTTTCTATGAGCATTCGATGAAAAGTAGTATGGATCCTTCAGCAAGCAAGTACTGGGATGGATGCGTATTAGGTGGGGATACGGATGATGCACTGTGCAGCCAGTGGATGTACGCGCCACGGGAAAGGGAGTAAAACAGTGGTGGGTCGTGAAGGGTTTTGATCGAGGGAGGCTGGAGGACGCGAGGATAAATTAGATTTGGTGACTGTCACAAAAAACGGCTGGATGAAAGTCGAACATACCGAACGGACCGATAGAAATGAAATTGTAGGATATTCGATTACGCGTCCCTCCCTCTTCCCCTTGGCTCCTGCGCGATCTCACCATTGCACCATTGCCATTCTCCCTTTCAAATTCACAAACCCTGCACGCGCTGGTTGTGCCGATCCTTGCTGCTTGATCCGCAACCACCTACCGGCCAGATGGCGGTTGCTTGATGGGCTTCCCGATAGGGTGAATTAACCAAAATTCCCAAGCGACTTGGGACCGGGGGGCGAAGGGGGCAAGACCAGCTCTTTTACAGATCCGTCCGATTTTTTTGCATTTTCAACACAGATTTTATGAATTGTTTTAAAAATTTGCGGTTCGCGTGGATCTAGGAAGGGGAGGGAGGTAAGGGGACCGGATAAAGGCGAACGAGACAATATAATAATATTACATGTGTTGTATGAGTGGAGATAGGAGAAAGGCGGCCCATTGTCTGGACTACAAATTAATCTGACGATCGATACAAACGATGTCTTGCAACGGCCTTGTATTATATATACACATGGGATATATACGCTGTGACTCGAAGAAAAATAAATCTCGTTAATACATTTAGTACACGGTACGAAATGGTATGGAAGGGCGGAGAATCTAGCTTAGCCATGTAAGTCGTGCGTGACATGGAAGCGCGACTTGTGGCTTATTTCGTGACTATCTACAGGGTGTCTCATGGGTACGAGAACAAAGCACATCATTAGCCACACAATTTCGGGCCGTAAATCGCCGAACAAGTCCCGCCTGATTCGTGGCTACTTCCATACGTCTGTTCCGCGTGATGGATGATTAAGACACAGGTACAGATCGGGCAGATCATTCGAGTGATAATTTTCCATCTGATAATATTTCGAAGCACGTAGAAATTTGGAATAACAAAATTTCTAGTGTAGAAGTTTA